GCAACCCCTACCCGGCCAAACTGACTCTCGGGGAATTCAGCCGCAGACCTTGACCCCTGGACTCAGCGTCCCCCCACACCCCTCCCGCGCGGTTCGCGTGGCGGCGTCCCAATCCCCAGGCTGCTGCAACTGCGGCAGGGACCACACCTCCGCCTGAAAGCATAGGCCTCTGGGTCCCCTACACTCCACCTGGGTCTGCCCGCCCGGGGGAAGCAGGTACCTCGGAGCCGAGGTAGCCGAAGCTGGGGGCTGGGGAGAAGGGAGACCAAGAAGTGAGCCCTTGCGGTGGCCTGAGCATTAAGGAGGGAGGGAGTGCAGGCCAGGTGAGCTCCCTGGGCAGGAGGCAAGTCTAGTGCCAGCATCTTGAGCTCACTTGAGGATAGAGGACCGACCGCCCAGACCTGAGGTGGGTGTTCTAAATAATTTAACTTCTGTTTGGATGTGAAGCCAAACGAAGTAATAGGTGCTGATGGGTTTCTCCCATGGAGTCTGAGAGAAGTGGGTCATGAAAGGCATTTGGGGATTTGCTCCTGTAGTGAATAGTTAACGCGGGACAGAATCGTGACCTAATTACTGGTTTGGGATTAGCAGGGGCAGTCTGGACTTTAGAATTACTTGAGAATTTCTTGTAGATGGGAAAATAAAAGGAAAAATAGAAAAGGAAATTCACTACATCTAATTTGTGTGGTTAAAAATCCCCACTCTGTGACTTAAGCCTGTCCTGGGAAGGACAGGAGCAGGACCTATGCCTAGACTCTACTTATTAATGTGCTACCCCTGTCCTATGGTAGGGAATCTGCCTTGGTCTAGTGCTTCAAGAGGGTGAACATTCATTCTGCAAACTGTGTCACTGTTGCTGGATTTGGGGCCAGAGATAACTTACATCTATCCCATTTGGAACTTCAATTACTTTTCTCCAAATTATTGTGGTCACTTAGAGCGAAATTTCTTTCTCCAGAAATTTTATCGACCCCAATGTAGGTCAATCCTAGTCTTACAAAAGTCTTTCCTCCTATTGTGTCATTCAAATCATTTACAAAAGAGGAACTGTTGTCTAGAGAACTCATCCATCCAAAGTGAGCTGAAAATTCGATTTGAAGTAAGAGTGATTCATGGTCATGCCTTCCCACCACTGCTCTCAACCGCCAGGCTTTCTAGGGTAAAGAGTAGGTAGGTCTTACCCAATTTCTGTTCCTAGCAACTGTGAGAATGCCTTGGAAATAGTGGGAACTTGGCATATGTTTGTTGAGTTAAATTCGCCACCAAATGATTCTTTGCATTTCTTTCTGCTCAAGGAGGCAACATTCCTTTTTGTGTTTAGGACCCTACTGAGAGTTCTGGGATAAAGAATAAGGGGAAGCATCTCACGCTACAGTACCTTAATCAGTTATTCCAGAGTTTCCACCTCTGGTTCTTCTGAGCACAAACAAGCACCCGTGTTCTTTACTATGCCTAAGCAGTAACATATGTTGTGAAATGGTGAATCTGGACAACTGTGTAAAATACTCTCACGAAAATCTCAGAACAATGCTTTGTGTGACAGTCACTTCATTATTTTACATATATTTTTTTTGAGCTGGCAGTTGGGAATAGCAGTATAATCAATCATTCATATATTTAAATCTAAGAATGAGCCAGACTACTTGCTACAAGGATAGCTCACAGAAAGGCAAAGACCCTATTTTTAAAGACCAAATGTTTCATGCACTTCTGTGTCTGATTTGGAAAGTGATTTATTCTTCCTTTCGCAGGAATTAGTACTGAAATTAATATTAATCAATGACAAGAAGACCAGAGCTGAGGATGGTCCTGTGATGGATGGTCACAAGCTGTGACCTGCTGTGAAGTATCTCTCCTTTAGAAATGAATATTTCCATTCCTTTCATGTATTTGCCTTGTCTGAAAGACTCTGCTTATGAGCTTCTTAGGATGGCTCTTTAGATTTGAGTCCCAGAGAAGTTTTTGCAATCTGTTCAGCTCACATAGCTTGATAGTGGCAGAACTGTGTCTAAAGTGTTGGATCATTTCCAAATCCAGCATTTGCTTTACTGTATCACACTGTGAAACTCTTAGGTTGATCACTTAGTAAATACTAGATGTCTAACAGCAGCCTATTTGCTTCTGATTGCCAACTAGTTCGTTTCAATTCATATTTATTTTAACTGAAAACCACTGCCTTCTGACGGCTACTCTGTTGTCTATAGGAAATGAGTTGGTGGGTGGATTCCAGCCCTGTTGGACAGCAGAACCCATCACAACAAATCAGTGTCAAAAATGGCATTTCAGAAGGAACACATACTATTTATTTAGTACCTCCAACAGAGTAGCTCAAAGTGATTTGAAAATGTCTCATTAATCCTCATGACACCCCTGTGGGATAATAATAATATTATTATAATGTTTAAGGGCAGAATTGTGGCAAAGCAAACAGCTTCTCTGAGCATGTGCAGGATTGTCTCATATTTCAGATGTTGATATTACAGACTAAGTAAAGCCATCAGGTTTGCAGTCAGCCAGGGTAAATCTTGGTGTTTGGCCTTTCTATATTACTCCAGGCATATCCGGGGCTTCTTACTGACCACAACAGAACTAGTTCCCCAGTTGCCAGATGGTAAACAACATCTGGGATTAGTCCAAAAGTGATTGAGAGTGAGACAAGGCAGACCTAGAGATCCTAATCCACAATTATAGAAAAACGAATGGAGAAAGAGTACTCACTATGCCCCAGGTTCTGTGCACTATGAACTTTTAAGTATAGACCTTGCTCTCAATAGAGTTTCACAGAGTTGAGAAGATAGGATATAAATCTGTGAAAAATTTTACAATGCTCTTATAGTACAGAAATGTCATAAAACAGCCCGCTACCATTCTGTTTATTCTAGACAAACTGGCTGCCTTGCTGTTTCTCAGTCATACCAAGCTAGCTCCTGTTTCAGTGCCTTCACATTTGCTTTTCCCTCTGCTTGAAACACTCTTCCTCCAGATTTCACATGGCTCTCTCCAGCATGTTAGCTCTTCAAAATATCACTTCATTAATGATGCCTTCCCTGACCACGACCACCTGAGTGCCAATAGTACTCCTTCCTTCCCCTCTCCCCCAGGTCTGTTACCTCTTTATCTGTCCTCATTGAGTTGTTTGAAATTATTTTTTTATGTTTATTTTGTTCCTTGCTTATTGACTGTCTCATACACTAAAATAGTGGCGTGGCACATAGTGAATGCTTAATATTATGTTGAATAGGGAAAGAAAAAGCACAGGGCAAATATATAAGGTGTATTAAGGTACAGTGGATGATCTAGTTTTGCTGATGGAGAGGAGTTAAGTTGGAAAGGTATTGGTCCAGTTCTGGTTGTATTTCGTGGAGCTAGCTGAACGGTGCAGCTATGTAAGCATTGCTTATTACTTCTGGGAAAGTGCAACATTCTTCCATTTTTTTCTCTCTACTTTCCCTTCTCCCCACTATCCCAAATGAGTCTATCCTGCACTCCAGAATTGTATTTTAAACTTCTCACTTAATTTCTTAATTTTAAACTTCTCACTTAATTTTAAGTATCTGCATATACTTAAAAATATTTATAGTATTTAACTCATTATCTTTCTCCCCAACTTGCTTCTCTTCCTGCTTTTCTTATTTTATGCTAGAATATGAGTCATCCCCACATCCTTCCTCTGCCCCTTTGTCCAGTTGGTCACTGAATGCTTTCCATTCCCCGCTCCATGTCCCTATCAGTTCTGTCTTTACTCAACTGCCATTGCCCCAATTCAGGCTGCCATAATAGTTTCATAACAGACTCCCTGCTTCCAACCTCTTTCATGTATCTCAACCTACAGAATGTAGCTGAGTTATTTTTGTGTATCGTAGACTTGATCACGTTGTTCTCCAGGACTGCCATCATGGCCACATCTGGCCCTGACCTGCCACCATTTGCCGGGCTGGACAGGTCATCCACGTATATGCAGCCAGGCCTTTCCTCAAGGTTACTGCTTATGCTCTGGTTTGCTGGGTATTCCCACTTTTGTCCCACTGGTAAATTCAGTCTATACATCCATCCCAGCTTAGAGGTCATTTATTTTGAGATCTCTACCCTCTCTGTCAGCCATGGTTATCACTTCAAAGAAAATTTAATAAAGCTGATTATACATGAATTCAGTGATATTCTTTCTCACCAGAATTCTTATGGCAGTTTGTTCGTAGCTCCGTTAAAGGGCTTTGGTGCACTATATTTAGGTTGTATGCTGTGATCTGTCTTCCTATAAATATATGAACTCCATAATACTAATAGCTGACATATTGGGCATTGAATGTGCTGTGCCAAGCTGGGCACTGTGCTAAGCACGTTAT